AAAAAAAAAAAAAAAAAAAAAAAAAAAAGAACAAAGTGTCTAAAAGGGCTCCTTTTTGGGGGTGATGATGAAGAAAAGGTTGGGAAACACTGCCCTAACCCATCAGTTCCCACGAAGACCCTGTAAGAGCTCCCCCCAGGTCCCCTACCACCTGCCACAGCACCCCCTCCCAGGGCACCTCCCTCCACCCAGCAGCCAGGACAGTGCCTTAAACAAGGAAAGCAAACATCACTCCTCCACCTAAAACCATCCAGGGGGGTCCAGTTCCCCAGAATAAAAAAACCCAATGAGACAGCTGACCTTTTCTTGCCTCATTCTGGAATCTCCAGCCACGTGGCCCCTTGTGCTTGGCCCCTCCAAGATCAAGTCCGCTCCCAACTCAAGCCTTTACACTTGGAATTTCCAAGGAAATACACCCCACCCACCCAACCTACCACTCCCACCCAGATCATACTGGCTAGCCATCCTCAACATTTGGGTCCAATACCACCTCCTCAGAGCCCTCCCCTGCCAGCCCCATCTAAGCTGGCCCAGGTGCCCCTTTTGCCTTGAGAATATCAGCTCCAGGAGAACAGGCTCCTTGCCAGCCACTGACACTGCCAGGTGCCTGAGACATTTACAACATGAGCAGATACATGAGATGATTAATTGAAGAATGAGTTCTCCGTTCCTCTTCTCATGACTGTGGTCACAATAAGCAATAAAGAAATGACAATGACAACCAAAATAAAACCTCTCCATTACAAAGGTGCCAATTTATACCATCTCCTCGATATTCTGCAGCTACTGAAGGTATGCTGAGTGATTAAGCATCCAAGGAAAACACATGGATAAGCAGCTCACAGAAAAATACAAATGGTCAAGAAGCACACTTAGCCCTGAGCTCGACATAAATAAATGTAAACTCAGGTAAGGCATATGGAGATATACAGATAAATCTCCATCCTACATCCTTTTCACCTGCATGGTACACTTGTTTCAAAGATAACACCTAGTGTTCAGGGTAGGTGAGGAAAGAGGTCCACTCACAGGCATCAAAAAACTATTCAGAGGCTTCCCTGGTGGTGCAGTGGTTAAGAATCCGCCTGCCAATGCAGGGGACATGGGTTCGAGCCCTGGTCCAGGAAGATCCCACATGCTGCGGGGCAACTAAGCCCGTGCACCAGAACTACTGAAGCCCGCGTGCCTGGAGCCCATGCTCTGCAACAAGGGAAGCCACCACAGTGAGAAGCCCGCACACCACAACGAAGAGTAGCCCCCGCTCGCCA